AAAAGTACTAGACGCACACCTAGCCAGGATTCTCTATAGATCCATTATAACCTCCTGTAAAAAGATCTTCTGTTAACTCTGCTGACTCCTTTTCAATAGCAGAGGCAGTTTCATCAGTCATCACTCTGTATAAAGACTGTTCTGAAGGGAGCTCATCCCAACCTAAAGCCCAGGAGACCTCTTTCTGGGACAGCCAGGCGTCCATTAGGACAATGTCAAATACATTCATGACAGCCAGCAGTAAAAAGGGCAGGAGAACTGATTCCTTCTCCTTTCCCTCTGAAATGCCTTCCTTTGGATTGACAGACCATGTAAGTAGGAGAGTTGTGTATTTATTGTACATTCTTATGCCAAAGTCAAATCTGACTCCATGTTTTTTTCCCCCTATTAGAGATTAGAAGTCCTGCCTTTAAGTAAAATTAACATTAATAAAGCAACTGTCTCCCAGTCATTCTTCCTCAGGGCTGCCTCTTCAAGTTTGAAAAGCAGTAGGAAGGACTTAGGGCTTATAGTTTTCCCAAAGATCTAGCCTCTTCTTTTGCTTAGGATATTCTCCTGACCTGAAATGCTTTTTTTCCCCTGCTCCTTGTTCACATTTTACCCATCCTACCAGCCCTCCCACCCCCAGGTCCCAGCTCCTTCATAAAAACTCCTCTGTTTATTCCAACCCTTTCTGACCTCATCCTCCTCTGAATTCCTCAGTACAGTCTTTACCACATAATTTAGCTCTTGATTATAGCTAATTATATCTTCAATGGAACCAAGATCTCTTTGGCATTGATACTCTCCCTACATTGGTATAGAGCCACACACAGATATTACGTCCTTTGTGATTCTTGTCTCTGATTTTGCAAAAATCCTAAAATTCTAGGTACATGTACTTCACTGTACTTGAAGTGGGGAAGTTTACAAAGGCAAAACCATGGAGCTTACATTCTGCTGGGCAGGGGAAATGAGTGAATGAATGAATGAAGCATTTATTAAATACTCTTGCAATGCACTGTCCTAAGTTCCGGGAATACTAATAGAAAAGGAAGACAGGCCTTACTCACATTCTGCTGGGAGATAATATATATACAAGATTTCAGCTGCAAATCAGAGGAAAGGTCTTTCAATCAGTATACATTTATTAGATGCCTGCTATGTACCAGGCACTGTGCTGAGCTCTGGGGGATATAAAAAAAGGCAAAAGACAGTCTTTGCCCTCAAGGAACTCAAAATCTAATGGGGGAGACAACATGCAAACAAATATACACAAAGCAAACTATGTGCAGGATAAATAGGAAATAATTAACAGGGGGAAGGCACTAGAATAAAGAAGGATTGAGAAGGGCTTCCTGTAGAAGGTGAAATTTTATTTGGGACTTAAAGAAAGCCAGGGAAGCCATTAGGCATAAATGAGGAGGGAGCATGTTCTAGGCATGAATATTGGCTGGAGAAAATGCCCAAAGCCAATAGATGGATTATCTTGTTCATGAAATGGCCAAAAGGCCAGTGTCACTAGATAGGAATGTTTCTGGGAATGAAGTAGCCTGGGAATAAGAACACTGGAAAGATGATGAGGGGGCTAGGTTATGAAGCACATTTTGTTTTTAGTTTTGGAGGCAATAGAGAACCTTTTATTGGGGGCAGGGTTGTGTGTGTATGACATATTCAGATGTGTTTTAGGAAAATCACTTTAGTGGCTGGAGGGTGGATTGGAGTGGAGAGAAACTTGAAACAGGAAGACCCACTAAACTATTGCAGTAATCCAGGTATGAGGTGATGAGTCTTCACTAGACTGGTGGCAGTGTCAGAGGAGAGAAGGGAGATTTTACAAAGGTGAAATCAACAGGCCTTGACAACAGATTGGATATTGGTGGGGGTGGGGGTTGAGAGATAGTGAAGAATCCCAGGATGACTTCTAGATTGTGAGCCTGAGGGGCTGGGAGAATGGTATTATCCTCTATTGTAATAGGGAAGGTAGCAGTGGGGGAAGGGTTAGAGGGAATACTAAGGAGTTTGATTTTAGACTTGGTAAAGTTAAGATGCGGACCAGATATCTTTTGGACTGGTGATGTGGGATTGGAGGTCAGCAGAGAGTTTGGGGTAGTATAGATAGATTTGAAGATCATCAGTGTAGAGATGGTAATTAAATTCATGGGAGCGAATGAAATTACCAAGAGAAGTGATGTCGAGGGAGGAGGGAAGAGGGTCCAGAACCAAACCCTGAGGGAAACCTGTGGTTAGAGGGTGAGATTTGGAAGAGTGTCCAGTCAAGGAGAGAGAGAGGAGTGGTCAGATAAATAGGAGGAAAATCAGGAGAGAGTGGTGTCCCAAAAACCTAGAGAGAAGAGAGTATCAGGGAAGAAAGTGTGGTCATCGATGTCAAAAACTGAGGACTGAGAAAAAGCTATTGAATTTGGCAACTAAGAGCTCATTAATAACTTTGCAGAGAGCAGTTTCTGTTGGAAGCCAGATTGTAAAGGGTTAAAAAGAGAGTGAAGAAAGAGAGTAGAGGTGCCTATTGTGGGCAGCCTCTTTGAGGAGTTCAGCTACAAAAGCTCCAAAGAAGAGATGTGATAGCTAGTGAGGATGGAGGGGCTAAGTGAGAGTTTTTTGAGGATGGGGAAGCATGGTCATGTTTGTAGACAGTATCAAATGAGCGAGTAGACAGGGGGAGATTGATGATAAGTGAAATAATGGGGATAACAGAGGGACCAATCTGTTGGAAGAGACAGAGTGGAATGGAGTCCCTTGTACAGGTAGAAGGGTTAGACCACCTCACTGTGCAAGACAGAAGTGAAGGGGGAGAGAGCAGCAAAAGGCAAGCCATGGATGGTGGTGGGCTACAGTCATATAAACTTATTTTCTTTTGTTCACTGTTAATTCACGTGTTCTAGTTGGGTCTCCTCTAATAAATTTGAGGGCAGAGTTCACATACTATTCTTCCAAAACTCCCAATTATATTATAGGCCATGTATTTTATACTCAGTGTTGGTAGTTTAATCATTCTTTTGTCATATTGCTTCACTGGGTATCTATCTCTGTATTGTTCCAGAAATCAGCACTGATTCCTCATTTTATTAACCAGATTAGGAAGGGTTATTTTGGGGTCTATAGTAAAGAACTGAAAAGTGAAATTGATCCAGTTTTTCTCTGTGTCCACATTTAGATATTTGTTCTGTAAATGAGTGATTTTGTGATTAATTAACCATCATACACAAGAAGGAAAGAAATAAACTGCAGACATCAAACTTGTGTATACTAATGGGGTTTGTTAAAGGATATTCTTTGTACGTTCAGGGAGGGCTAGAGATGGTACAGGAGTGCTATGGTCTCTCTAGTACTTGGATCTCCTTCACCTGCTATCTAAGAAGCTCAGAAGCCCTTGGTAGGTCTTGTAGGAATTGTCAATTCCCAGATGGTTTTTGGAGTTGCAGCACCAACCATAACATGGCAATGATGGGGTTGGTATCTGGGCCCCAGAAAGGAAAAACCCTGGACTTTCCCACTTGGCCAAATCTGGTGTTCGCCTGAGGCTGTAATCCTATCAACTGACCTTTCATTGTGGCTACACCCGATCTGCCCTCCATTGTCTTACCTCTCCCTATGGCCCCCCGGCCATTTCCCACTCTTAATCCTAGCTAGGCTCCATTCTCTCTTGGCCTTGTGGTCCAGGTCCCTGGAATTCTGTTACCTCATAGACTACTTGGCCCCTCCTAGATCCCTCCCATAGTCTTTCTGTATATAAGGTCTATCTTGTCTCCATTAAGATTCTTAGATTCTTATAATCTAGCCCTCCCTATACAGGCCACCACAATGATGCGGTTTAGGGGTTCAGGGGTACTGGGACCCCAAAATCACAAGACAAGGGTCCTACCCAAAAGAATTCGACCCAAGCCTTCTTTCAGCCACAGACAAGGTTTATTAGAACATCCATCAATTTGGGCAGACTCTTAAGGAGTCTGAACATGGGTAAGCAGTGGCTAGATTATAAGAATCTAAGCATCTTAATGGAGACAAGCTGGACCTTATATACAGAAAGCCTATGGGAGGGATCTAGGAGTGGCCAAGTAGTCTATGAGGTAATAGAATTCCAGGGACCTGGACCACATGGCCAAGGGAGAATGGAGAAGTGGCCTGGGGCGATAGGGAGGTCCACAATGAAAGGCCAGTTAATGGGATTATAGCCTCAGGGAAATGCCAGAGATTTGGCCACGTGGGAAAAGTCCAGGATTTTTCCTTTCTGGGGCCCAGATCCCAACCCCATCATTCCCCTCTCAAATAAACAGGACCCAAATTCTTTTGGAATAAGGGGCAAAGGTCTTGGCTTCTGAAACTGCTTCCTGCTGTCAAGGGGTGTAGAGCTGTCCCTGCCTCGAGGAGGTCCCAAAGAGGAGGTTGACTGGAACCAAGCACAGGCTGCATCCAGGGAACAGTGGGGAGACATTGACTGTTTGTTACCAACTGTAGGTGAATGGGCTGTAATCTGGAAGACACAAATCTGACAGAAAAGACTACAGGGCCCAGATATAAAGCAGGGACTAGATTTAGGGATCAACTTTGAGAGGATAAAACATCCTTAGCTCTGTTTGGATTCAGTTTTCCAACC